TATCACCTCTAGTTTTGTATAACTTTTCATGTAATTTATTACTATATAAATTTTATTTCAAAATTTTACTCCTATAATCAATTAAATTGAATTGAAAATAAAGTTGGTCAAGCTTCGTACCGCGTAATGGGAAGATCTTACCTGGACGGAGGGAGTAATTTTCAAAAATTGAAGTAGTTTATGAAAAATCTCCCTTTAAATAAGAAGCATTAATGAAATTCAATGTGAAAATAATTTAATCATCTCATCCACATTTTATAGAAAATCACATGTAATAAGAAGAGCATTCATGAAATTTTATACTCAATATCCCAATGCATAATTAGAAGAAAATTTATAGAGAAACAGAATATTTGATGAGTCAGTTTTACACACGGAGTGAAAAAGAGATGTTTTTTCAATCTCCTGATCGATATATACATATATCATCGAATTAACCACCGTGTTACGCCGCGGCCTCCGCCATCCATCTCCATAATTAGTGGATCACCTTCTTCCCGTTACGCTTCAAGTCCGTCAAAATGTTGTCGGCGGCGACGCTGTAAACCTCCACATGCTTCGACGATACCTTCACGTACCGGTCCTCCACCTTGACGGCGGCCAGCTTTTGCTTGCACGCCGCCACGCCGTCGCCGGACCTCATGAGCGAGTAGCTCGCGTCGTCCACCGCGGTGGCGGCCGACGCAATCTGCTCGATCATCTGGGCGGCGATCTCGAGCTGCGTCGCGGTGTCCCCCAGGAGCCGCGCGCACTCGGCGTATGCCGCCGGCCTGCCAGCGGCGGCGGCGCGCGTCTCCGGCGCCGCCGCCTTGTTGGACGCGTACTCCCTCATCAGCTTCGCGTAGGTGAGCCCCGTGTCGGTGATCGCCGCGGCGAGTGCCGGCAGGGACCGCCGCGACGCGGAGGCGACGGAGGGGGTTTTGGAGAGGTAGTTGAAGCAGAAGTCGGGGGAGGCGGTGGTGGCGCAGGCTCGACGGAGGAGTGCGACGTTTGGGCGCAAAGAAGAGGCAGCGGATATGTATACGGCTGGGGATGATAATAATGATATTATTATCATGGAAAAGAAAATGGAAGGTATAGTAGCCATAATCATAAAAATGAGTTAAATAATATTATTGATAGTAGGATTATCAATAATAAAATGAATGAAAATGAAAAAAAAATAGTACTAATTAATTAATGTTCCTATCTAATTAATAATGTTAATTTTTTTTTATAAATCAAGGATCCAGGCAGGATGAAAAAAATGAATGGGTTAAAGAAGGGGGATTATATATATAGGCAGTTAGGCACACACCACACATGCATGCATGGAGAATCCTGCTAAATTAATGGGGCGGGACAAAATTTTAGGCTGTTTTTATGGCTATCCATACCATACATCTAAATATATATTCCTTAATCTCATTTCATTTTGGCTAAAACTATTCTTAATTCATTTTATTTTTTATAAATGTAGAACTTAAAAATAAAATTTAACACTAATGTATTTAAAAATTATATCAAAATGTATACAAAATATAGAGTTAGTATTATATCATTCAATAATATGCAAAATACAAAAATAATGACTTGACACGGTATGTTATGTTACTTCGGCTACTCACTTGCCGCACACTGACTGGAATATTTTTATTGGTTTATATATTACATGTGACTAGGTAGAGTTATATTTTTACCTCGTCATTGCTAATGCTGTTAAGGTGGTGGGTTAGGATGAGAGAGCGCAAACTCGAATCCCACCATGTACATACATTCAGATTTTCCTTTGCATATACCGAGTAGAACAAAGACGAACCAAACAAGATGAAACATCAAGAGAGTGTCTTGAAAAGAGACAATACTATGCAAAACAATGCTCTATCGGTTCCAAATTAATCTTTTCAGTTATTATTTTAGTTTTTTTGGTCACTTATATTTAATTATATACTCCCTCCGTCCCAATTTAAATCGCATGTTTTGACTTTTGGACATATTTAAGGAATATAAAAAATAGAGTTGATTTTCCAAAATTGTCATTACTTTTTAGAAGGGGTGATGATGAATGAGAAGATAAGGTGAAGAAGAGTGACTTATTTTAGGGATAGTTTAGTTATTTTATTTTTAAAAGTTTATGAAAACAACTAACAGGCAACTTATTTTGGGACGGATAAAAAAGGCAAACAGGCAATATAAAATGGGACGAGGGAATATTTATTATATCACGTTTTCATTGATTATTATATCAATAAAATATTCTTATTGTATCTTTTTTGAAAAAATTAATTTGCCATAGTTATAAAGGATGTGATTTGTAGTTTTTATTTTTATATCAATTTATAAATAAAAATATTTTAAAGTACTCCCTATATAAATTTTGCATGTTCCTCCAAATTCAAAGAATAAATTTGGAGGGTGTATTTTAATATGTAGTCACATTATTTTAAATTTCACGTGCCGCGGAAATGGAAAATAGTATATGTACCACAATCTTTAAATTTATGACTACATTTATTTAGTATTATTTTTAGTATTATGAGTTTATGACAAGATTTATGTGTGCACCAGTAATAAACTAAGGAGTACAATCTTAACGAAAGCATTAGACACTAGACAGAGTAAATATAAATTTGATATGCACCTCCGTCTATTAAAATAATTACATTTATAAATTGGTATAAAATTATAAAATTAACTTAAATTGGTATAAAATTACATTAAAAATTCTACAAAAAAGTAACAATATGAAAAAAGACTTAGCAATAAAAGTGGAAAAATATCAAAATAGTAACTCCATGGTTTTTTATCTCTTAAATAGGATAACATAAACAATACGGAGTATATAATACCAAAAAATATAGTGTGATGTCCATCATACAGTGTCACAATATCATAGCTTAGTTTAAACTTCTATTTTAAGAATAAAATACGACTATACGAGTATACATGAAACATATATATTAACAACACATGTTACTCCCTCCGTCCCTGAGTGTTTGTCCACTTTCATTTTTGCACACCATCCAATGCACTTCTTTAATCTATTTTATCTTGTAATTTGTATATTAAAAAATTATATATTAATAATCTATATGTTAAGATGAATCAAACAAGAGATATTAAAAGTTATATGTATTGGATGGTGTGCAAAATATGTTAAAAGATATATTAATAATCTATATGTTTGATTCATCTTAACATATAGATTATTAATATATAATTTTTTAATATACAAATTACAAGATAAAATAGATTAAAGAAGTGCATTGGATGGTGTGCAAAAATGAAAGTGGACAAACACTCAGGGACGGAGGGAGTAACATGTGTTGTTAATATATATGTTTCATGTATACTCGTATAGTCGTATTTTATTCTTAAAATAGAAGTTTAAACTAAGCTATGATATTGTGACACTGTATGATGGACATCACACTATATTTTTTGGTATTATATACTCCGTATTGTTTATGTTATCCTATTTAAGAGATAAAAAACCATGGAGTTACTATTTTGATATTTTTCCACTTTTATTGCTAAGTCTTTTTTCATATTGTTACTTTTTTGTAGAATTTTTAATGTAATTTTATACCAATTTAAGTTAATTTTATAATTTTATACCAATTTATAAATGTAATTATTTTAATAGACGGAGGTGCATATCAAATTTATATTTACTCTGTCTAGTGTCTAATGCTTTCGTTAAGATTGTACTCCTTAGTTTATTACTGGTGCACACATAAATCTTGTCATAAACTCATAATACTAAAAATAATACTAAATAAATGTAGTCATAAATTTAAAGATTGTGGTACATATACTATTTTCCATTTCCGCGGCACGTGAAATTTAAAATAATGTGACTACATATTAAAATACACCCTCCAAATTTATTCTTTGAATTTGGAGGAACATGCAAAATTTATATAGGGAGTACTTTAAAATATTTTTATTTATAAATTGATATAAAAATAAAAACTACAAATCACATCCTTTATAACTATGGCAAATTAATTTTTTCAAAAAAGATACAATAAGAATATTTTATTGATATAATAATCAATGAAAACGTGATATAATAAATATTCCCTCGTCCCATTTTATATTGCCTGTTTGCCTTTTTTATCCGTCCCAAAATAAGTTGCCTGTTAGTTGTTTTCATAAACTTTTAAAAATAAAATAACTAAACTATCCCTAAAATAAGTCACTCTTCTTCACCTTATCTTCTCATTCATCATCACCCCTTCTAAAAAGTAATGACAATTTTGGAAAATCAACTCTATTTTTTATATTCCTTAAATATGTCCAAAAGTCAAAACATGCGATTTAAATTGGGACGGAGGGAGTATATAATTAAATATAAGTGACCAAAAAAACTAAAATAATAACTGAAAAGATTAATTTGGAACCGATAGAGCATTGTTTTGCATAGTATTGTCTCTTTTCAAGACACTCTCTTGATGTTTCATCTTGTTTGGTTCGTCTTTGTTCTACTCGGTATATGCAAAGGAAAATCTGAATGTATGTACATGGTGGGATTCGAGTTTGCGCTCTCTCATCCTAACCCACCACCTTAACAGCATTAGCAATGACGAGGTAAAAATATAACTCTACCTAGTCACATGTAATATATAAACCAATAAAAATATTCCAGTCAGTGTGCGGCAAGTGAGTAGCCGAAGTAACATAACATACCGTGTCAAGTCATTATTTTTGTATTTTGCATATTATTGAATGATATAATACTAACTCTATATTTTGTATACATTTTGATATAATTTTTAAATACATTAGTGTTAAATTTTATTTTTAAGTTCTACATTTATAAAAAATAAAATGAATTAAGAATAGTTTTAGCCAAAATGAAATGAGATTAAGGAATATATATTTAGATGTATGGTATGGATAGCCATAAAAACAGCCTAAAATTTTGTCCCGCCCCATTAATTTAGCAGGATTCTCCATGCATGCATGTGTGGTGTGTGCCTAACTGCCTATATATATAATCCCCCTTCTTTAACCCATTCATTTTTTTCATCCTGCCTGGATCCTTGATTTATAAAAAAAAATTAACATTATTAATTAGATAGGAACATTAATTAATTAGTACTATTTTTTTTTCATTTTCATTCATTTTATTATTGATAATCCTACTATCAATAATATTATTTAACTCATTTTTATGATTATGGCTACTATACCTTCCATTTTCTTTTCCATGATAATAATATCATTATTATCATCCCCAGCCGTATACATATCCGCTGCCTCTTCTTTGCGCCCAAACGTCGCACTCCTCCGTCGAGCCTGCGCCACCACCGCCTCCCCCGACTTCTGCTTCAACTACCTCTCCAAAACCCCCTCCGTCGCCTCCGCGTCGCGGCGGTCCCTGCCGGCACTCGCCGCGGCGATCACCGACACGGGGCTCACCTACGCGAAGCTGATGAGGGAGTACGCGTCCAACAAGGCGGCGGCGCCGGAGACGCGCGCCGCCGCCGCTGGCAGGCCGGCGGCATACGCCGAGTGCGCGCGGCTCCTGGGGGACACCGCGACGCAGCTCGAGATCGCCGCCCAGATGATCGAGCAGATTGCGTCGGCCGCCACCGCGGTGGACGACGCGAGCTACTCGCTCATGAGGTCCGGCGACGGCGTGGCGGCGTGCAAGCAAAAGCTGGCCGCCGTCAAGGTGGAGGACCGGTACGTGAAGGTATCGTCGAAGCATGTGGAGGTTTACAGCGTCGCCGCCGACAACATTTTGACGGACTTGAAGCGTAACGGGAAGAAGGTGATCCACTAATTATGGAGATGGATGGCGGAGGCCGCGGCGTAACACGGTGGTTAATTCGATGATATATGTATATATCGATCAGGAGATTGAAAAAACATCTCTTTTTCACTCCGTGTGTAAAACTGACTCATCAAATATTCTGTTTCTCTATAAATTTTCTTCTAATTATGCATTGGGATATTGAGTATAAAATTTCATGAATGCTCTTCTTATTACATGTGATTTTCTATAAAATGTGGATGAGATGATTAAATTATTTTCACATTGAATTTCATTAATGCTTCTTATTTAAAGGGAGATTTTTCATAAACTACTTCAATTTTTGAAAATTACTCCCTCCGTCCAGGTAAGATCTTCCCATTACGCGGTACGAAGCTTGACCAACTTTATTTTCAATTCAATTTAATTGATTATAGGAGTAAAATTTTGAAATAAAATTTATATAGTAATAAATTACATGAAAAGTTATACAAAACTAGAGGTGATAAGACTATATTATTTTACGAAATGACTAATAAAAATGAGCAAACAAAGTGAGTAAAGTTTGATCCTGTGAATAGTGTCTGGGAAGATCTATGGTGGATAGAGGGAGTATTTCATAATCAATCTTTTAGTGCTTCAAGCATGTAAGATATCAAAAATTATTGAGATCAGAAAAATGAGAAAACAAATACAAGAAGAATATATATATGAGATAAAAATTATACTCCCTCCGTCCTATAATGATCTTTGCAGAGCACTATTCCAACTTCACGGAAATTTATATTTATTTGTGTTTTTTCATGGCCTATATGATAAAATAAAATATTCTTGTCACCACTTGTTTTGTTGAACTTTTGGTGTAGTTTTTAAATATGTATGTTTTATTTTTTATTTCTATACCAATATTTAAATAAAATAGATTGAAAAAACTTAGGATTTTTCTTCGTTTTGGGAACCGGGAAGATCATTATAGGACGGAGGGAGTATTCACTTTATCCAAAAAATACTTCTTATTTCTTTTTTGGTACGCCCCCAAAAAAACATCTTCTTTTCTTTTACGGAAAATTTTGATCGAGTGGCTCATAATCTCACTCTCTCTTCTACATTACTCTCCGTAAACTTTGCGTCAAATCAATATGTAAATATTTCTAAGATAGAAGAAATATTTCTGTTATTTCAAAACAATATACTAAAAACTCTCTTCAATAACTAAATACTTGGTATCAATTACATAGGTGGCCCGGAGGATGTGCAAAGTGGCCAATGGCACAGTCGCACAGGGCCCCTAAAATTTTAGGGCCTCATATTTTTAAGTTTGTTAATAATTTTAAAGCAAAAGTATTCTAAAACATAAAATAGGACCCAAAATATAAATTTTGGACCAGGTCAAATTTATTTTTTCATTTTTCAGGGCTGATCCTGATCAATTATTTCCTACACTAAGATGACGTTTGGGATTGCATTTAAAAACTGTTTATAAGCTTTTACTTTACTAAAATAATGTTTGTCGTGTTTGTCAATCTGTTTCTGCTTATAGATTATAACTTCTATAGTCTAAAATAGGCTTGAGAATTGCTTGCAAGCAAATTTAAAAATATCCACTTTCTACTCCGACTTAAAACTTTCGCTTTTTCAACCATATACTCCCAAATACCTGCTAAATACTCTCCATCTCTCTCTTTCTCCCCTCCCCGTGTCTTTAATGCATAACACAACGTCACAACACATGCACATGTTTTAATAAGAAAAAGAAGCCTTTGTCAAAAGTTGGCCAACTACCCTACCAACTTTACTCTTTTATTTTCCTTTTGTTTTGATTTCTTATTTTAATCAAATTCCGAAACCAAAAAGATTAAAATATGAGTTACTCCGTAACATTTAAAATATATATATTAAAATATAAGTTTATGTCTTTATTTTCAAAATAGTATGCATTTAGAGTACGTGTCAATCATGATTATATATATTACAAAAGAAATAGCATGAAATATCCATATATAATGTCAAATTACCACAGTACAAATTTTTATTTTTGTAAAACATTAAAACTTCTAATTTGATATTTTAACTATGTTTTACTTCGATAATTTTTTCATTCAAATACACTATACATTGATAGAAAAAGTCTGTGGGCGTTGCGCAGTTGGCAACGACATGAAACATTAAGGGGGTAAGTAGGAGTGGACACGGTACGGTTCCGGTACCGCCACCCCATGTCACCGGAACCGTCACCGTGCCGGCCGGTACTAGTTCCGGTTCCCGGACCGGCCGGTTTCGCCCCCCCCCCTTATTTTATTTTTTTTTGCTTTTTTTAAAATTTTTAAAGTATAAAATTTTAAATTTGCAATTGTTTAAGGAAAAAATGAAATAAAAAATCTAAAAATGTAGTTGTTATTTAAATATTTTAAATGAATAATACACTAACTGAAGAACAACCACATTTAATATCCTAACGGTTCAAAAAAAGCGACAAGGTAAAGAACCGTAAAGAAACCCTCGAAGGAGCTTATACAACGCTCACCTAAAAAAAACTAATTACATATTTACATTAACACAAAAAAAATTATAACTTATTCTTCAGAACTCGGACTTCCATCTGTTGTTGCATTCATGTAATGCTCCGATTCGAGTTGGTACGTTGACTCTTGAGCTTGACGTCTTGCCAAGAGCCAATCTTGGTTGCAAACAAGTGTTTCAAGAGATTCAGCGCTAAGACAACTTCGAAAGTCGGTTAGAATGTTGCCGCCAGCATTGAATTCTCGTTCAACTGCTACGGTTGATACCGGAAAGGATAATAACACTTGTCTTGCTAGCATGCCGAGACATGGGAACATGTGTTCGTTCCGCTTCCACCATCCGAGCACGTCAAAATCCACTTCGTCCTCATCGTAATCGCATGGCACACCCTGGTACATAGCAAGTTCGTTGTGCGAGCTTACTGTTGTACCACTTGAACTCGTCGAAGAATGAGCACGCTTCCCTTTCTTTGCAAGAAGACCACCGACTATTCCGGCAAAACCTTTTTTTGATTTCGGAGGCGGAGGTGGTG